AAGAAAAAAATGGTTGTAAGATGTGTTGTTTGAGTATAATGGTCTTCAGGTAAATACTGCAAGATAAAGCTCTCAAGATATGGCTATATTTGGAATTTTTTGGGACAAGGTAGCCATCTAAGATTAACATTCAGGACCTTCATAGCCAAACTTCTATGGCTTAGACAGCATATACTACCACATAACTCTATGTTGACAGCTACATTATATTATTCAAATTGAAGTGTTACTAGGAAACTAAGAGCCATGCTGAGCAACAGGACCCTGTTGTCTGGCATTTTTCACTACATGGAAGAGGAACATCCTAACATTTTGATTTAGTTACAAAAATGTGCATGCTACTTGTTCATATATATAATACCTAGTCCAATAACATTTTTAATTTAATTCTTCTATATTACCTTTGTATGTAGTTATATAACAGCAAGTTCCATCCACCTTTTCTGTTGGGATTGCATTGTATATATCTGCAGCTAAAGCCTTCTTACTAATAGAGTTGGTGGCCAACACTTTAAAAGACTGAAAAGAAAATGGTCATTGTAAACTTTTAGGCAAATGTAGTCTTCTTTAAAACTTTAAAAATTTCTATCAGGGTTTTTTAAAAAAACAAATTAGGATGACCCCAGTAAATTCAAACTGAATCTGTTTGAAATTAGAAGCATAATTAGCAGAAAATTAAAAAAAACGGGTGGAGGTGGAATGTTTGTTGTAATAATATGTTGGGATAAAGTTAAATCTTCTGAAAAATCTATTTATTCAAATAGCTTTTATGAAATAAATGTATTAAATCAACGGATGATAGCTGCAAGTCTTGTATCGGCAGAAATCATTGGTGGAGCAATATTCTACCAGCTAAAGAGTAAGCCAGGATGCATTATAATCCCTGAAAAATCTAGTCCCACAAAGAGGTAGAATCTGAGGAAGTAAATTCCAATTTACCAACTTCCTTTTGAAGTGTGAAGGCTATTTCACGGCTTTCGCTATTTTTAAAGTATTTGCACCTTTAAAAAAAGCCCATAAGTAACTAAATAGTTCACATGGATGCCGTCCTGTGAATTGATAAATCAAACTTGGCAGAGATTTTGGAAGAGGTGAAGCGACTACACCTCTTAATGCAAAGTCGTTCCTTGCCGGATATCCGCGGTAGTTTCACGTGGCCGTGGTGCAAAACTGGGCGAGAGAAACCGGCGCGAATAATTCTTGGGTGCAGATGCAGCAGGTTGTTTTTCGCGCAGTCAAGCTCGTGTCTGGTTCTACTAAGACCCGCGATGGTCCGGAAAAATCAATATCCGATTCTTTGCTTGAGACTTCCCAGTTTTTTTTCTGACAGGCCCGTGGCTCTCCTTCACCCCAGCGGGTAACTCCGACCCCAGTACCTGGCGCTCCCGCTTGGCCGAGGGCTCCTCCTTCACTTGAGTCACGAAGAGGCAGGGTACCTTCTGCTGTACCGAGCCCAGGCGGCTCATGGCCCCAAGAACGCGTCCCTTCACCCCCTGCAAGCGGGAAGTCTCCAATCCTCAACTGCTGCAAGCCGCTTCCCAGCCAACCTGGAGGCCGCCTCCTTGAGCGGCGACAGACGAGGCAGGGGTAAGTCTCACTGAAAAGATTTCTGGGAAATGTAGTCCAAGGCCGGAGAGAGACACCCTTGCGAATGATTTACTCGCTGAATTAGAGGAGGTGAATTCTTTTGATCGCAGTTTTCATCCATTGTTCCTCAATCAACCTTTACTAACCAAGTTACCATCCTGATGTATTAAACTACAACTCCCAGCCAGCACGACTAGGATGTTAATCTGAAAGGGAAAAGATAACGTAATACACGCGCTCCAAATAACCACTTCTTTGTTACAACTTTAAATATTTTAGAATTTTAAGAACTGACCTCGATCTTAATGGTTTAACCTTTAAAACATTTCATAGATTTAAAAAAATGGTTCGTATGAAGAATTCATGCAGATGCATTTGTGCAATCAGAAATTATTATTTAATAAGAGAAAAAAAATAAAAATCATGTACCTTGCAATAAAATGAAGAATGCTTATTGTTTTATATCCTAAAATACGTTAGCCTTTAATACCTTTGTTTTCATATCAAAATATTCTGCCATTCAGAATCATTTTCCAATTACTTTAAATATTTGGGAATCAGTTACTATCGTTTATCAATGAAGAATATACATTATTTTTAGAATTCACCTGCTTGCATTTTACATTGTATTGTTCTTTGATACAATGAAATTTAGGGTGGCAACTTGTATAGGACTAAATAAAAAATCCAAATCCAATGCTAGATGGCAGTATAAAGATTCAAAGCAAATTTTTTTCTGCCTTCCAGTGGTGCTGGTGTTTTCAGCCCAAAGGTGGCATGTCTACAGTAGTTGAATTATAGTTCAGGAACAGCAGTGTGAATGTTTGCACTCATTCCTTGTCAAAAATGGCCAATACTGATTTTGCAATAGTACCTTACAAGGGTTAAAACAGAAAAATTCACAGGCACCCAAAGATAAATAGCCCCAGGCACCGAAAAATGGCACATTGAATTTATCTATTTACCTGATCCAAATGCCTGGGGGGAAAGCCAGGTCTTCAGTGCCTTACAAAAGTGTAAGTGTAACTGAGTTGGTGCCATCCAAATCTTCAGGGTGACACTGTTCCACAGAATTAGGCTTTTATCTGAAGAGACATTCAAAAATGCTGCATTCATTATACAGAGGCCTTCTTTGAAAAACTATGCATGGATTCTGTAAGATATAAAAGCAGTCTTAAGTGTGAAGCCATTGATTCATGAACATTCCTTGTAAAGTTTCTGTCTGTGCATTAATACCATTCTTCCTAAACTGCTTTGAAATAATAAAAATAATTATAATTATTTCTTATTTACAATATTTTACAAGTTTAATTATTACCATTTCTAAACATTTATCTCTGGAGTAGCTCCTGTATACTTAGCTACATTTAGATCAGCAATTGTTTATTTTTATTTATTTATTTATATCTTCAGTTATTTTTGTAAATAACTCAAAGCACAAACATACCTAATACTTCTTCATCTTCCTATTTTCCCTACAATCCTCGGAAGTGTATTGGGCTCAGAAAGCGTCTGGCCCAAAGTTATCCATCCAGCTTTCATGCTTAAGGAAAACCTACTGCTCACAGAGTTCTGGTTTCTGGCCTAGTGCCTTAATCTAGTGGACAAATTGGCTCTCACATTCATGATTATTTTCAGGTTCCTTGAAAAATAATATTTTAATATGCTCTTCAAATGCTTTCCCTTCTTTGAAAAAAAATAGCCAGTTCTTGAACTCTAAATATAATTTTTTTAAACAAATGTGAATTTACAAATTAATAACATAAATATTGTGATGGGACCTGGACCTACTCAGCAAAAATAGTGTACTGCTCTGTTATTCTATTCATGTCTCATATATTATAACGAATCTTTTCCTTATGTTATCTAAAACTTTATGATTAATTCTTGATTGTTACCCACTAAGAACTGATTATAAATGGGTTATAAATGAATGCATGAATATTTAAGTAAATAGATTCTTTGTTACAGAAATACGTAGAACTAATGCAAGCTGCAAATATTAATTTATTTTATTATGCAGTGAAACCAATTGGCTTACTTTTACATGGCATCTTTATGGTTTCCTTTATGAATATCTAGTACAATGGTGGTGAACTTATGGCATGCGTGCCAGAGGCGGCACTTGGTGCCCTCTCTGTGAGCACACGTGCCGTTGCCCCAGCCCCACCTCCCCCCATGGCCCCCTCACCAGTAGCCTCCCCGGAGGAGAGTTGTCTCCAGGCGCGGCCTGCATGGAGCAGTGCAGCCAAGGGCATGGCAGCCAGGCAGCAGGGACAAGACTCTGCCCTCATGCCCTGTAGCGCTTAGATGATGCTCTGGGGCACAGGCGGAGGATGTCGCCATGGTGTTGCAGGGCTGCCTGGGCAATCTGTGGTGGGCTGTGGAGGCGGGTGGCCCTGTGGGTGGGCAGGGGTAGGGCAGAGCGGTGGTGGAGTGGGTGGGCTGGGAGATGGAACAGGGATGGGCCAGGACGGGACAGTTTTTGGGCACTTGGTCTCTAAAAGGTTCACCATCACTGATCTAGTACATTGCACTGCATGAGTGAATCTGCTTTAGGAGATCCTGTAAACTATATTGCAAATGTTTTTGCCACTGTTCAGTAAATCCTCCTCCCTGCCACATGAGTGGAAAAATCAAAGCTAACCTTTTTGGTTGGCCTTCTCGGGATATTTTTTTCAATATATCTGTGCTTTTCTCTCTAACAAATTATTTTTCTCAATCCAAATATCCCCAGACAATGAGCTTTTCAGAACCTGCATTTAAACTGTGCTAAAGTAACAATAAGCAAAGAACTACACTTATTTTCTTGCAGTTAAGCATTTACCCATAGCCAAACATTCTGTGGCAATATTAGTAGTTATTCAAAGACTTAGCAATGCACATGCCATTAATAACAGGCTTTGTACTACATATGTGTCTATTATGCTATGACCATAATAAAGATCTTATAGATTGATATGTGTGTTAATAGTATATATGATGGCAGATAAGCTTAGAAACCAAATCATTTAAATAATTAAAATTCTGGCAAATTGGGAGTTACTGATATAGAAAGGATGAGGATATTTATTCTCCTTGTCTCATTCTCAATTCTGTCCATTAAATATGAGTTTCAAAAATTCTCTTAACTGAGTTCTATTTCTTTCATACATTTATGTTATGTTGGAATAATCAGATGAGTAGACCATGTGGAAATTGCTATCTTCTTTCCTGTTTTCCAGCACTTAGGAACAATGAAGATAAGTGAGCTTTCCCAGTTTGAGGGGTCATATGATGTCCTTTGTGATGATGTCATAAGAACTAAGGTAACAATGAAAGAAATTCTGGAAGTTTGAATTTGTGCACTGTCTAGCAACCACTTTCAATTTGTGAGCTCTTCAACAAACCTTAAGAAGGTACCGTCTGTTTTACAATTAGTATAAGAAGCTTTTTGATTAAAACTTTCAACTGGAGATTTCCCTTTAAGAGGAAATAGAACTTAGATCCTGAATTCAGCTGTACTCAGAACAAAAGGGAATATTCTTCCCATACATGTTGATAATTCCAGCATTTATGCTGAGATCTTTCTAAAGACAGTGGAGTAGAAGCACAAGAGGTGAAATGACAGAAGTTGGGGATGACTGTTTTTTCTATGTTCATTCAACCTGTGCGAAGGTAAATACTGCATAATTTATAATGGATTGCATCTATTATATTGTCATGTGCCTCCCAGTTTTCCAAATTGTAAGAAATGCCAGGAAGACTGTTGCACAGTCAAATTCTTCTTCTTCTTTTTTATTAAAAGTCATTTGCAATTACTTTCACTGTATATATAGTTCATTTTTATGTCTGCCATTGTATACACAGAAAAGTGACAATAAAGGTTATCTCATTTCATCTCATCTCATCTCATTTTATCTTATTTTATCAAACTGCAGCCTGAATTACCTTGGAATGAATGACCATTGGAGATTTTTCAATAATAATTCTATAGCACATCAAAAGGAAATTGAAATTCCTTCAGCAATCAGTAGTATTTCAGATTGAGCCATGGCTGCAGCAACTTTCCTTTATTCTTCCAAAGTTACATCTACATTCCACAGATTTCTCTTAAATTCTCAATCTAATCTATTTCCCTCTATCTGCTTCTCACATGTTTAAATCTGCCAATAATTTCCATGTTTTTCTTTTTTCCCCTTTTTAAGCCTGCAAATTCTTTTATATTTAATCTTCATGAATGACATATTTATTCAGAATTCTAAAAATTGATGTCTGCATAATTTATTTCCCAAGGATATTAGCAAATTTCAGTATACATTTATAATACCCCCTTTCACTCTAAATAGAAAAAAATAGACATTTCTATGACCTTTTCTTAGATTTATACCTACCATTTTCTCCCTCTCTCTCTCTCTCTCTCTCTCTCTCTCTCTCTCTCTCTCTCTCTCTCTCTCTCAGTGGGTGGTATATAAATAAACAATTCTACTGTTCGAGTCAATTTCTAGGACTTAGTATATGATCCTAGATTTACCCAGTGAGATAAAGAAGTTTATAAACTGTTGTTCTAAGACCACAGATTATATATTATTTCCAGTATAGGTGGGCTCTTTTGATTGTTTTGAACACAGAATAATTTTCTGGTTTATATGTCTAAGTAGGGTAACACAGGTAAGGAGTGGGGTATGATGCAGCAGTAAAAAAGAAATAAAGTAAAAAAATACTGATAAATGCTTCAGGAGAGTTTTAGCAATCAGAAAGAGAGATTTATCCCAGTACTCATGAAAGATGTGAAAATGCAGCATTCAGATTGGATTACAAGAAAGTAAAAAAAAAAATGTTATCTGAAATGGGAAGATATTGCTGACATTCTGGGAAACAGTGATAACATTATTTAAAAATCAGAAGCCTCTGTTTTTGACTGCTGTCCTCGGTTATCTTTTTGACACCCCCAGAAGTACCCACTTCAAACCATTCAAAAGAAATCCCCAGTTACATGGAAGCCATTTTCCACCAGTAGTTCTCACTGTGAAACTAACTTTCCTGGACAATTAACAACTGCAGCAGAAGCAATATATAGTCCTTTCTTAACACAGACATCTGAAATGCAAAAATCAAACTCTACACCAAGGACCCCTCATGCCCTCTATTTTATTTATTTATTTATATCCTGCCTTTATTATTTTGATAAATAATTTGAGATAGTTCACATCCCTAACACTTCTTCCTCCTCCTTTTCCCACAACAACAACAATCCTGTGAATTGAGTTGAATTCAGAGAGAGAGTGACTGGCCAAAAATCACTTAGCCAGCTTTCGTGTCTAAGGCAGGACTAGAATTCACAGTCTTCTGGTTTCTAGCCTTAACCATTAGACCAAACTCTCCATAAGTGCTCATGAAGACAGACTATCTGTTTCAGAAGAAAGATCTGGATATAAAATAGGTATTAAACAATATTCAAATTGTCCTGGTTGTAGGACCTAATCCAAAAATTTCTCATACCCAATTCCTCAAATTGTCCTCTGAAATCATATTATCATGTTGATAATTCTATGTTATTCTCACCACCTCTAAATTTGAAGGGTGAGAAGCTAATTTTGTGCTTGGTACTAGATTCCTAAATATTTTTTCTACTTATTTGCTTGCTTTGAAATCTGTAGCATGCTAAATAGCAATAAAGTTACTCCTCTTGCTGTTAATGAAGTTCACTGTATCTTCTAGTTATTATCCATGATGGAACATCTGGTTATTACTTAATTTTATTCAGTTTACTTGAGTGAACATTGTATGGTAGCTGAGCTTACTTGATAATATATAAATTAATTTGTAAATTCTCTGGGATTTCTATTTATATTTTTGCCAGAGTAGAAAAATCATAATGCCAAACTATAGTAAATTGCTTGTGATCTAGATAGGCTAAGGTCTGCCTTCTTTCACATGTTTATTCAGACTTTACAACTGACATTGTCATCTACCCTGCTTTTTAAAATTAGATGGATATGATTGGAGAAAGATGTTTCATAAAGATGAAATCTGATTATTGATTATCCTGCTTGATTCAAATTCAAACACTAAATCAACTCTTTAGTTCCACAGGTATTAGAATGGATTTTTTTTTTTTTTTTGAGAAATTGTATTAGTTCTGCTGACTTTTTTTCTGATTTTGTTTTACTGGTCTTCTGTTATTTTAAAAAGAGTTGTTTCAGTTGTTTTGTAACCTGAAAAATTATTTAAAATATTTAAACAGAGAAAATGCTATGTAGCCAAATTTTCAATCCTCTCTTTTTTCTATATCCAGGGATCAAAGTGCAGGTTCCGTCACTGTGAAAAAGCCATTGGCAGTGATATTGTGTGCTCATTATGGAGAGAGGGAAAATGTTCCCATCAACTTTGCAAATTTAGACACATGGAAATACAGGTAGTTGTGATGCAAATATATTAATGGAAGAAAAATAGACACTGGCTTTCCTGTTTTAACATTTTCATTAATACACCCAGTACTATAAGAAGGTTCTATAGCAGTACTCACTGTTTGGACCTAGATTGTTATTTAAGTGAAACATTTTTGGATGGGGTTGAAATTTTAATATGCAGTTGTTTAGTGTGAAATATAAAACAGTCCTTCCCCACAGTGAAGACTCTCTGTGCAGCAACTATAGCACTTATAATAAACAAGAATTCTAATTGTTGTTTGATACCTATTTGATGCCAATCAAATCTTTAGATTTGAAAGTAATCCAAACAATTTCAGCAAAATCACATAGTATATAGCAGTGGGGATCAAACTGCAAATGTTAAAATGCAAAGTCTTTTTTTAATGCTTTGTTCCATTTCTATTCTTCATAGTTTAGATTATGAATTGCAGAATTTCCTTCCTGATAATTTCTATTGAATCATTAAATATGGAACCATCCATGTTTTCTTCTATAGCAAAAATACAACAGCATCTCATGCTTCTGGGAAACACAGCCTTTAGGCTGTGTGAGGATCAGTTGTGTCTTCCATCACAGGAAACCTCGTAATATTAATGGACTTTTTTTGCCCCCTAGTAATGGTGAGTATCTTTTCCATATTCTAGGAACTGAAATAAAGTCAATTACATGTGTTTCACTTCTATATTATTAATGAGCAACATCCTACAAGTAATTAGTTTTTATATATTGAATCAAAGTTCTTATTCATAATCTGATTAGAATGGGGTCAATCTTTGTTTTTAAGGCTGTTCTCACAGCATATTATTATTAATATAATAATTAATACAGTGCCCGTTAAAACTGTTAAGAATTTTGCAGATAACAGTATTAAAGTTAATGGGAACCAAAACTTTGTTAAATCTGGAATTCACTTCTCTATGTTCAGACTTTTTGAACTATCCATCCATCCATTTGTCTGTCTGTCTATGATTTGAATTTATATGGCCACTCAACAACTGTAAAAATAAAGCACATAACAATAGAATAATATATGTATATTCAGCACCTAAGATAAACAACTCAACTACAACAAATCAAGACAATTATTGCATGGGTTCTTTCACATACATAATTCCTCAAGTTCAGCGATACATTTTTGTATTTAAGCCATTATAGAAGGCCAGCATGGTCTGTATCAATCTAATCTTGGTAGAGAGGTTTAGAATCATTTTTGTGATGTGCTTCCCTTCTGGCAGAGAAGAAATGTTTTAGTGGACCAATTAAATGAGCTAAAGCAGTGATGGCGAACCTTTTAGAGACCGAGTGCCCAAAAACCGCCCTGCCCCCCAGTTGGCCCCCTGCCCCGCCCACCTGCAGGGCCACTCACCACCTCCATGGCCCGCTGCAGATCGCCCAGGCAGCCTTGCAGTGCCATGGCAGCCATGCCCTATGCCCTCACCCCACAGCATCATCTGCATGCGATGGGGCGCAAGGGCGGAGTCTTGTCCCTCCTGCCCAGCTGCCATGTCCTTGGCTGCGCTGCTCACACGGCCGTGCCTGAGGAAGACTCTCTTCCGGGAGGGCTGCTGGGGAGGAAGGGGCTGTGGGGGAGGTGGGGCTGGGCAATGGCACGCGTGTCCACAGAGAGGGCTCCGAGTGCCGCCTCTGGCACACGTGCCATAGGTTCTTCACCACTGACCTAAAGCAAGATAGTTTATCGTTACTGATTGGGTTCCTATCAGTTTCCTATTTACTGCCTCTTTTGACGGTAATTGCCATTTTGGTTGTTCTGTATCACATTTTATTAGAAACATGGTTTGTTTCTACTGGTGGAGATGGATAGCTGTAGCTAATCAATATTTTACTGTAGCTAATCAATATTTTACTGTAGTTTGGCAGTGTAATGTTTCAAGGATCATTGCTACCTCCTCCCTCCAGGAAAATGAAGTTAACACTAATAGAGGATGGTCTTCATTTTGTTTGCCTGATGTAATTTGGCTTTAGCATCCACTTCCAAATATTGTGTTGAGCCCTGGACTGTGTTTCCAAGGGATGTCAGTTATGTGATCGGAAAGGACATCAAGGTTGTCTGTTTTTTGTTTAATTCCAGAGGAAATCTCCTCCTAGAAAATTTCTTCTATGTATCTTCTGAATTGCCACAAGTTTGTGCTGATTGGTGAATGAAATTAGGGGAGGCCTACATCTTGATAAACCCTTAGATACAATGGTTAGATTATAAGACTAAGTGATACAAGGTTCAACAGCAACTCACATTCAGCTAAGTAAAGTTGAATTGCCTTGATTGAATGTAATTATATATTAGATTGGGGTCTTGGGCATCTTAGGCTCTAAACTTCGACACATTTATAGGGCTTCAAATTCAGCTGTGAAATCTCTGGAATTTCTGCAAAGTTATGTTTAGTTTCAGGAGACATCTTACTTACTTTTTTTTTTTATTAAATTTTTTTAAAATTTTACAATAAAAGCCCCTTCCCCAATCCCTCCCAACCCACCCCAAAACCCTCCCCCAATCTTCCCAGAGCTGAGTACAGGCTTAACTAGAACTTAAAAGAAAAAAAGTTTTAAGCCCAAATAAACCTTAAGCAAATATAATTACACTCAATAAACAAGTTGTAAAATACTTTAACTCCATTATATATAAAAAACAAAAAGAGGAAAAAAAAGAAGATAAAAAAAATAAAAAATTAAAAAATAATAATAATTACACTTCTAGATAATATCTTAAACTTTAAATATAAATTATTCAAAAGCTAGATAATATTTTCTTATATCATACCTATATTGTATAAAATTTATCCATCTTTTCCACACCAAGAGATACTTCTCTTGCGATTGATCTTTCAAGAAAGCCGAAATTTTTGCCATTTCCGCTAAGTAAGAAACTTTAAAAAACCATTCTTGCAAAGTAGGCAAAAATTCCTTCTTCCAATATTGCCCTATTAACAACCTAGCCGCAGTAATTAAATTTAACATTAAAATAATCTCTTTGTCATCACAATCCGGAACAATACCCAATAAGAACAATTGTGGAGTAAATTTTATCCTTCTTTTAAAAATTCTTTGAATATTCCACCATATCTTAATCCAAAAAGCTTTTATACTTTTGCATGACCACCAGATATGATAATAAGTAGCATCCAAGCAACCACATCTCCAACATTTAGGCTGCAGGTTTGGATACATACAAGACATTTTTTGTGGATCAAGGTGCCATCTATAAAACATTTTATAAAAATTTTCCCGTAAGTTTTGGGCTTGCTTGAATTTAACATTCCTCACCCAACTAATCTCCCATGTATCTAATAAAATCGGTTCATCAAAATTTTGTGCCCACTTAACCATACAGTCTTTAACTAGCTCTGCTTCTGAATCCAATTCCACCAAGACACCATAAATTCTTTTAATATGGGTTCGACTTTGATCTCTAATTTGTTTTAACAAATTCTCATCCTCTCTAAGCAAGCCCACCTTATAATCTATCTTCCACCTTTCCAATAGTTGTCTATACTGAAACCATGAATAAATAATATTTTCTTGTGCTAATTCATCCATAGATTTTAATTGCCAATTTTTACCATCCCACTTAAGTAATTGTGTATAAGAAATAGTATCCATCTTAACTCCTCTCCTTATTCCTTCTATTGCATGCCATGGAATAGCCCATAATGGAATTCTTGAATCACTTCTATAATATTTCTTCCAAACCCGAAGTAAAGAAATTCTTAAGATATGAGATCTAAAAACCCTATCAACCTTTTTATTATAAATTAAATAGGCATGCCATCCAAAAAGTAAATCCCATCCCTCCAAAAGGAGTATATCTACATTTGTTAGATTAACCCAATCACTGATTGATGTTAAGACCACAGCATCATAATACAATTTCAAATTCGGTACCTTAAGTCCACCTCTCGTATATCTTGTAAAATTTTAAGTTTTACTCTTGGTTTTTTCCCTGCCCAAATAAATTTATTGCCACTCATCTAAATTTGCTTCTTTCTTTAAAATAGGTATCATTTAAAATAAAAAAAGAAATTTTGGCAGAACATTCATTTTAATCACTGCTATTCTCCCCAAAAGGGACAATTGCAGCTTTTTCCAATTGTCCAAATCCTTTTGTATTCTAACCCACAGCGTTTCATAATTATTTTTATACAGTTTTGCATTGGAAGCAGATAGAATAACACCCAAATATTTTACCTTATTAACGACCTCAAAGCCTGTCAATCTAACCAAGGTCTCCTTATCCAAGTTGGTCATGTTCTTAGGCAATATTTTAGTCTTATTATTAATTTTAAAACCTGAAACTTGTCCATACTGATTTATCAATGGTAACAACTCCGTTACGGAATAAATTGGTTGAGATAAAGTAACAACCAGATCATCTGCAAAGGCCCTTAGTTTATATTCTTTTTTATTAATTTCTATTCCTTTTATTTTCGATGATTCCCGAATTTTGATCAATAAAATTTCCAAAGTTAAAACAAACAGCAATGGGGACAATGGACAACCCTGTCTGGTCCCCTTTTCAATTGAGAATACCTCTGATAAACCTCCATTAACTATAAGTTGTGCCTTTTGTTTTTGATAAATGACTCGAAGAGCCTGTAAAATTTTATCTCCAAAGTTCATTTCCTCAACCAATCTTAACATAAATTGCCAATTTAATTAATCAAAAGCTTTTTCAGCATCTAAAAATATCAAACCTGCAGAGATTTGGTTGTTATTATCCAAATATTCTATTAAGTTAATAATTTGTCAAACATTATTTTTCATATACCTTCCAGTTATAAAGCCAGTTTGATCCATACGTACTAGTTGATTCAACACAATCATAAATCTATTAGCTAAAATTTTCGAAAAAATCTTATAATCTACATTCAAAAGAGATATAGGTCTATAATTCTTTGGTAGAGTAAGATCTTGGTCTTCTTTTGGGATCAAAGATATAAAAGCTCTACCCCAAGACAAGGGGGTCTCTAAACCCTGTAATATATTATTAAAAAGTTCCCTTAAAGGTTCTATCAACTCATCTATCAAAGTCTTATAATAAATTGATGTCAATCCATCAGTACCAGGTGCTTTACCTAACTTTAATTCTTTAATTGCTGTCATCATTTCCTCTATAGTAATCAATCCATTAATTTCTTGTTTCTGATCTTCTGTTAATTTAGGAAAATAAGCATCTTGTAAATATTTATCTATATCTGAAACCTGTACTTTCCTGCCCATATATAATTTCTTATAATAATCTAAAAAAGATTTCTTAATCAATTCCTTCTGGAGTACCAATTTACCATTATAATTTATTTTATCTATAATTCTCGACTTCTGTTTCTTTTGCAGTTGATAAGCCTGCCATCTCCCTGGCTTATTAGCGTTACAAAATGTGTTATGTTTCATATACAATAAATTAGTTGCAGTCCGATCTGCCATTAACATATTAAATTGCGATTTAAGCAATTTTATGGATTCCTTAACCTTCTCATCTGTAGGATTCGAAATTAAAACTTTTTCTTTTAATTTAATCTCATCTTCCAACTCCTTACGTTTCTGCACCTGTTTCTGTCTATAAGTCTTATTCATTTGTATCAAAACCCCACGCATGTAAGCTTTACTT